TGTGCAAGGCGAAATGAGGTCGTTCATTGTCTCCAAAAATGGATTTAAAGAGTTGATCACTGGTTTTCGTAAAATCAATGACCAGCTCTGTGCGCTTGACACTCAATTTAGTGGCCTTCAGCTGCTAAATGAGTCCCCTAAGCGTAAGAAATCCGCAGTGTCTGATCCGCCTCAGCCTGCTCAGCCGACATTAATGCAGCCGCTTGTATCTCTGGCTAGGCCAAGGGCTAGAACTGAGAAAAATTCGTCCGAATTTCTCAGGGATAATGAGCAATTGTCTGATATGTCCGCCATGGCATCCCTTTAAGTGATGCCACAGGTCCTAGGGAACGAAATCCCCATTAGAGTCACCCAAAAGGGTATTCCACAGTCCGGACCACCGGCACCGACTGAAGCTGCAGTTCACGTACCTGCGACACCAAAACCCTTACAGGTGATTCCTCCATCGAAACATATATTTGTTTCTCGGCTTGCCCCTGATACTTCGGAGATTGATATCTCGGCTTATATCAAAGCCAAAACTAAAGCCGATATAAAGGTGGAGGACATACAAAAATTTAAATATAATTATACAAGGCGCACGTCTTCTTTCAAGATTCGTGTGCCCGCGCTGAGGTTCAAGACGATTTGTTCTCCCAGTTTTTGGCCAGAGAATCTTTTCGTCCAAGAACAACAGCCTAGTTCCGTGAAAAAAAAGTTAATAAACCAGTGGGAGTGAGACTTCCCAATATCGGAAACACTGACCAACCCTCCACCTCTTCTTTGGCCACTAACCCAAAAACTAGTTTCCCCACCAACTCTTACCTATCACAATATTAGGGGGCTACGTAGCAAACTCCCCAAGCTATATTCTGATAGTTCTTTCTTTGCATCCCATATAATAGCATTTACAGAAACTTGGTTAAATCCGGAGATCTTTCGCTCCGAAGTTTTTCCAAGTAAGTACACCACTTTGAGACGGGATCGACCTCAGCGAAGGGGAGGTGGAGTCCTCATTTCGGTAGACTCTACTTTTGCTTCTGAAGAGGTGAAATCCCAAGAGTTTGGTGACATAGAATTTATTTGAGTTCAAATTACTATGTCCGTGAAAGCTTTATACATTACATGTTCCAATATACATCCTATGTCTGAACCGCCCACATATTGGCAGCATTTGTCCGCTATTCGATACGTCTCTAATCTTATGACGGATCGTGACCAACTCGTAGCGGTGGGCGACTTTAATATCCCAGAATTAAAGTGGTCCAACGTCGATAACTCACCATCTTTGTGACTTATAACTTACCATGACTTCACCGCGGGCATGTTTGACATGTCCCTAGGTCAGATCAATCATGTTAGAAATTCGCTAGGTCGGCCTTAGACTTATGTTTTGTATCTGATCCTGATGGTACTGCTCTCTCCAGAGCTTTTCCCCTTTCAACCCCAGAGGATTCATATCACCCCACGCTGGAGGTCTCAATCGAAACCACTCCTGGTATCGATCAGATGTCTCCGAGCGTGGTAAATAAGATTCGCTGTTTCCGTAAAGCTGATTTTCAGAAACTTAATAGCCTTATCGATACATTTGACTGGTCTGATATTCTGGCGTGCACTGATCTTAATGTCACTTGAGAAAAATTTTATTTTACTTTAAATACATTTTTTGACTCATGTGTGCCTTGGAAATATCCGTCCGCTTCAACAAATCCTCCTTGGTTTACAAGGTGCCTCACTAAAAAAAAATAAGCTTTTACTTAAATATAAAAAAACCTGCAGTAGTGTTGATTTCTCAAGATACCTACTAGCTCGGTCGAATTTTACCGTGCATAACGCGGAATGTTATAGGAATTATATTGACCGCTGCCGGATTCAATTTACTCAAGATCGCAGATTTTATTATTCGCAGAATTTTTTCAAACAACTTATTCTCCTCCTAAATTGACTGATCAGCCTTGGAGTTGTCATCCTTTGTCATAGATGGCTTTTGTAAGGGATATCAAACCGATGTAATTTACACAGACTTCAGCAAAGCATTTGATTCAGTTTATCACTCACTCTTGTTGAGTAAACTGAATATGCTGGGTTTTCCTAAAGACCTCTTAACGTGGATCTCCAGCTACTTAGATGGAAGGACACAAAGAGTCTTATTTAAAAACAAACAGTCCCGTCTGGTCCGTGCTACATCCGGCGTCCCTCAAGGAAGTCATCTTGGCCCGTTATTATTTACGCTTTTTATAAACGACTTGCCCCCTGCTTTAACGAACTCTCTAGTTCTTATGTATGCAGATGATGTAAAGCTTTGTCTTCAGTACAAATCCATCTCTGTCCAATGCAGTCTTCAGTCTGACCTTGATAACTTTCAAAAATGGTGTTTGGCTAATGATCTAATACTTAATGGGTCAAAATGCAAACATATGTATTTTTATCGTTCTTGCCCTCTGCAAGCTAATTATTCTATTAATGGGATTGCCTTAGAAAAATTAACCCAGGTTAATGATCTCGGCATCCTATTAGACATCAAACTTAAATTTGCCGACCATATTTCCTTAATGGTTAATAAGGCTAAAGGAGTCCTTGGTTTTATCAAAAGGTGGTCAAAAGAATTTAATTATCCCTATATAATTATAGGGTTCATGTGTCTGGAGTCCTCAATATGGAGTACATAAGGACCGCATAGAATCCGTACAAAAGAACTTTTTAATATTTGCACTTAGAGGTCTATACTGGGATGCATCGACAATGCTCGGTGTAGTTTTTCTGCATAGCCTTATTAACGGGGATGTAGATACCCAGCATTTACTAACACGCTTAAATTTTAACATTCCTAATAGAAGGACTCGAAACTTTAGTCCTCTGTTCCTTTGCCGTTGTAGTTCGACATATGCACTGCATGACCCTTTTAGGGTATTATGTTTGAACTACAATGGTCTCTACTCTATTACATCTCTTTCCTGTCCCTCTAATTTAAAATATAGAATTTTAAATTTCCTTACTAACTCCTCTTAGCTTAACGAATTTTAAATAGCTTAATATGTACTAACAAATCGTTTCTCGAGCGCCCCTCGGTCGTCTGGGCCTCTAAGCTTTATGATCAATACAGGAATGCTAGCTGATGCTCTTATTGATGCACAAGCCATTTCCAAATTCTGAAAGACCGCGAAAAGAAGAGTTCCGCGCCTAATCAATCCTTCCAGAATCACACCACACTCCCGTTTGCGGGTCGCCGTCCGTACCTCCTCACCTTTTCCGGCCACGGACCTCTGCTATTGCTATTCGGGGCACCGACGAATTTAGAGGGCCCGCTACACTTTGCACTTTTGACGTTCCACGGTGTTTTTTCTTTACGCATTTTTTAAACAACGCTGACGCTGCCGTTCCGCGAACCGTTAATATTAATGAGATTTTGATCACATTCTAACAGAAAAAGAGTGAAGATAAATTAATTGTACCAAAGATTTGCATGGATGGCGCCACTTTGGCAATATCAGCCTTTAAAACAAATAAAACTGAAACTTCCGACTGAAGTTTTGGAAATTCTATCAAGCGAAGGTGGCCCTTCGGTTAAAGAACCAATTCCCGTATATAAAAATCAAATTTTAATCTTTGGGGTTTCAGATCCCCAATTTCAGATCTTCTATACTCAACCTTTAAGTTGATTTAGTTTTTAGTTCAATTAAGAGTTATGTTTGTTTTTGGCGTTAAGCCCTCTTATTTTTTGTTACTTTTATTTAAAGCCTTCGTGTTCAAAATAACCTCGAATCAAAAAAAGTACATATGGCAGGACCATAGTGGCAGGACCATAGTGGCAGGACCATAGTGCGGGTGTCTCGAAAACACCCATGATTCCGGGTGCATGCCTTTTTATTTACTTGGTAAGTTTCTTAAGTATGGTCGCAGGCACACACAAAAAACGGATGGGTGGATCCGGCACAAAAAGAAGATCATAAAACGATCGTAAGAAAGGGTTTTGTTGTGCACGAAGTGTAGACGCTTAGGTAGTTAGAAAGAAATGGAAAGAAGGATTTTATTTGGCTTAAGATCTTTGTTTTCTTAACTCAATGTGTCGCATTGGAATACAAAAATAATTAAAATTTAAAATAATATGTACGTACATAGTACATTTAAAAACAATAAAATTAATATAAAAACTTTAAACAAAATTTTAAAAAATTGAATAAAACCTTTTTAAACCAAAAAAAAATGTTTACGAATTTTTATAAAAATTTGACTTAAAATCCAAATGTAATGAAACTGACAAAATTAAAGTAATGTATAATCCATAAATATACTTATGTACTGCATTGCGAGAATGAACAAACATCTACTCGTTGGATCAAACAAATTGCTTAAAAATATTATTACCCAAATAGCATAGAAAGCAGCCGATCAATTCTTAGATGCTTTTTAAATGCTATTTAAAACACTCGGGTATTTTCCAAAACACCCGAGTCTTTCATGTGTGTTTTCCTACCCATGCTCTATTTCAACGAAAATTTTTTTACATCTTCTCTTATTCCACTCTTTTTGAGGATTACAGGTATGATCTGCAGGTATGAGCGAACAAAAAATACCCGGGTGTTTTGAGTCTTAGGACATACAGGCGTAAAATCACGAGTGCAAGAAACAGCAAAGCAGACTTTGTACTCATACAAAAATTGTGTGTGTCGCTATCTTTTGTCTTATGAGGGGCGAGTGGTACGCGCACACAATTTTTTGGGTGCATACCCCATATAGGGTGTCAAAAAGTGTCACCCGTGCCGTGCTCTGGTGGGCCGCTCCTCGCACCCGAAAACACTTGGCCCCCAGCTGCCACAGGACGGTCCACCTTTGTTTAGACATTATGTTGAACATAACAAATAAATGTTTAAAAAATTTAAAATATTCAAATTCAAATTAAATAATACTTTCACTAATTATCAAAAGAAAAAAATTTATTTACAAAATATTTATTCATAAATATATATATAAATTTATAACAAAATTTATTCAAAAACACATCATATTTACACCTCTTTTTGTGTCCCTTTCCAGTATGTTCAAGCATTGATCACGATATACAAATTATAAAGATAGAGTTTCAGGAATCGGACCCATGAAATACGAGACAAACAGCATGGTCTAAAACCGATCCCCTTCAGCCTAAGACAAATACATACATAAGTGGAGCGCTTATCGTACTTGAGAAAGGGTCGCATAGCATGTCGGCGTGCAGTGCGTTGATAAGTAGTTTTAAATAGATTTAAGATTTTCATGTATATTTCTTATAAGAGAATTGTACAAAATAAATAGAGTTTCCAAAGGGAATTCATTGGAATAAGACCTTTTATTGGGGCTCCTCTTACCTACCTTCCTGGCCACCCTTGCATCCTCTTCAACTCACTCGCCACCTATGCGCTGAGTTCTGAGTTCCCATCTGCTCTCTCCCTTTCAGCTCCTGCCGAAACCGGGCAAGAGCTCTAGCGGGCAAGCGTTGGTCTTGCTGGCGTTGGCCATATCCCTTGGTTCATGGCTCCTCCTCCTCGCGTTCCTCCCTGGCCCATTGCACGGACCGCCGCGACCGCTGCTGCTATTCTCTTGGAGGATCTTTTCTCTCTGAAAGAGAGAACATAAAATTCAATCACCAAATCTTATTATATTCCCGTCTTTCGCCGAGAACAGCTTATTATCAAATCTACGCAGACTTTTCAACTTATCTTTGGAAACTTCAATTTTTCCCCCTGAGTGGAACGATCATTAATAATTCCCTTACATAAAATAGGGAAATAGTCCGATGCTGCCAGGAATCTCTCCTACAGAGACATCAAATAATTACTCCATATTTGCAACATCTTTGGTCTTCGATCTTTTCTCCTTGTCAGCATGGCTTTATTAAGTAGAAGAACACAAAGAGTCTCATTTCAAAATATACATTCCCGCTTGGTCCGTGCCACATCTATGGTTCCTCAAGGAAGTCATCTTGGACCGTTTTGGTAACTGTTTGGTCATTGAGGGTTTTCAATGCCGTAATCCGCATCAAAATAAAATGCTGGATTTAAGTAATGTTAAAACGGTGTGCATTTTTGTTTCTGCTTGCATGATGCCGAATGCTCAGCAGATAGACCAGCTTTTGGTGCATGCAGAGACTCAATGTTATTTACAGAGAGGGCGGCCCGACTAGTCAGAAGCTAAAGCATTCTAAAAAAAGGCCCGTTGAGTCGAGCGGCCGATAGAGAGTCGACTTGCGACCAACTAAGTGCTTTGTAAAACCTTAAGCCTAAATAAATAAACATCACACTAAACATTACATTAACATTAAGCCGCTGTGCGGCTGCCTGACCCGACACCATATTTTTTATAATGGTTAATAATGCTTGATTTTATTAAAAAGGGGTCAAAAAAATTACCGACCCCCTTACAAGCAGACTCTTACTAATTAAGTTACCAACCTTAACTAATCGTAGGATAATGGTGGGTGTAGTTTTTCATAACCTCATCAATGGTGATGTAGATAGCCAGCATTTACTAACACGTTTCAATTTCAATATAAGAAACTAGAAACTGTAGTCCTCTATTCCTTAGCCATTGTAGTTGGACATATGGACAAACCGACCCTTTTAGGTTCTTATGTTCGATCTACAATGGTCTCTACTCTATAACATCTCTTTCCTGTCCTTCAAATTTAAAATAAAGTATTTTAAATTTCCTTTTTAATTCCTCTTAGTTTAATTAATTTTAAATTTATAATAATAATAAGAGGCGCTTTCTTGAGCGCCCCTGGTCGTCTGGGCCTCTAAGCTTTATGATGAATGCAGAAATGCTAGCTGGTGCACTAATTGGTCCACGAGCCATTACCAAAATTCTGAAAGACAGCGAAAAAAAGATCCCAAAGCCAAGTCCAATCGCCAATCATCAACCCATCACAGTCGACAAGTCTCGACCTACAGTGAGACAATGAGAATTCACCTAGGTAAGGCGGCTTCAGAACCATCTCAGCAGAAGATCAAAAGTTAAACTAAGTCGACTTCCAATGAATAAATGTTGGCAACTAATGCCAAGATAGAGCGCACCAACAACAGGCGCTGCAGCACAAGCGAATGCCCGAATCAGCCGTTTAGCAGCAAAACTGACCGACTGTGCAAGCGGAACTGGAGAACCTGACTCGGACCGGAAGGTGACCAAGTGATACGCAGTTTTCTGTAAAGTTGGCGTTTCTCACTATTTAAACCAAAACAATGTAGACAATGCAAAACAGGAGTTTCCTCCCGCGAATCCAAGTTTGAGCGGTAGTCCCAGGGACAACCTCTATGTAATATTTACACCATATGTACATATTACATATATATTTACATATATATTTTACAGTATGCAAATACAATATTTACATACAGGTTGAAATGTCTAATGAATTTCTTGCACTGAAACGTTTTTGGCACTCCAACAACAAAATTCATTCGGATTAGCACGATTGAGAAGAATAGGGAAAGCACGAAAAATTGTTATTTTAATTGCCCTATGCCTATGCTGGGAGCAACGAAACTTATGGCGTGAGCAACGAACCTTATGGCGTAAGCAGTCTCACACAACTCCGTATGCATGAGCATTTGCAAAAACAAACAAGAAAGGAAAGCTAACTTCGGGCGGGCCGTAGTTGATATACCCTTGCAGTTAAAACCGGATATATATCGCAAAAATCGGATATAGTTGGCCGATCCGTATGAGAATATGATAATATAACCCAATTTATTATAATACAAAATCTAAAAAAAGTCCCAAACTTCTGTCTTCAAAAATACCAAAGTTGATATTTCTACCAAAAACTATTTCCGATCATTCAGTTATATGGCAGCTGTAAGATATAGTCGGCCGATCCTTACGAAAGTCGCATGTCGTATTATTTTGCCAAAAATAGCTCTCATGTAAAATTTGAACTCTCTAACTCTAAAAACACCGAAGTTATACCCGTTCCGATCAATCAGTTATATGCCAGCTTAAGGATATAGTCGGCCGATCCCGGTCGTTCCGACTTATATACTGCGTGCAAAGGAAAGAAGGGTGTGTGCAAAGTTTCAAGTCGCTAGCTTTAAAACTGAGAGACTAGTTTGCGTAGAAACAGACGGACAGACAGACGGACAGACGGACATGCTTATATCAACTCAGGAGGTGATCCTGATCAAGAATATATATACTTTGTAGGGTCGGAGATGTCTCCTTCACTGCGTTGCACACTTTTGACCAAAATTATAATACCCTCTGCAAGGGTATAAGAAGTTTTTTTTTAACAATATGTTTCAATCCTTGCATTCAATATTGACTTGACAGACTTTACATTCTGTTCGAATGTATGTCCCTATGAGTTCATTTTATTTGTAATTTTGTATATACAAATACACATATAAATTTATATGTAAATACAAAAAAAAATTTTTTATGTACATATACATATGTATTTACAAACATGCATAATTGCGCGCATGTAAGTTCGTACGTTCATATGCGCATGTATTTATATATGTATTCATTGACAAACATTTGGAATTTACTTAAGATGCATATATTTACAAACATACATAAACATAAACATAAACATACATATACCTAAACACGTACATTAAAATGTATCTGTATGTGCTGATATTACTAAAAACAGCTTTTACTTTTTCTTAGATGAAGAGGCCAATGCCAGGCTAGGTAAATTAATTTACTATCTCTTTATGTTAACAGAGTATGTAAGTGATTTATGTTGTAGATACTAAAGGGACAGAAAGTGATTTTATTCAAACGTTATAATGTTATAATAAACGGCCAAAAATATTTGTTTATGGGAACTAAAATATTTGTGCATATGTACACACATACGTACATATATGATATAAAACCAATACTTATATTTATTTCTATGTGTCAGGTAGAATATATATGTATACATATAGTTTAAGTAGTTTTTATTTAGCTTCTAAAATTTATTGAGACTAAAAGACTTCACGGTTTATTATTTTACTCATTTATATTTTAGTAGGGCTTTACAAAGCTTTTGTGGTTTGAGCCATGCGCTTGATGTTGTTGCTTTGAAATCGTGATCAAGTTGGCTGCTGCAATTTCTTGCGCTCTTTAAGCCATGGTATGATTCACTCAAGCCATTCCTTTCCCCGACTTGTTCGTAAGCTCGCTTTGCAGTAACTTTTCTGTTTAGGAAATTGTATATAGTCATACATACGCAGACATTGCTTCAGTCTGGTGCCTCATCGTGTAGCGCGTACTTCAAAAAACAGTTTTTGATTCAAAAAAATCTATGAGAGAGTTTAGTATTTAAAAAAAAAAAGACATTTCATATTTGCTCTGCATATTATGAAAATATACGGGAAATAAATATTACAGTGCTTATTTAATAAGTTTCTTAATAGTTGCAAAGTTAAAATTTGTGAAAAATTTGTGGAATTTTTACTTTAAAATGGGAAGGCTCCAAAAAATTTGCAATTGTATTTTGATTATACTTTATGTATTATCAAATATTCCTAAAAACGTAGCGGTCCGCATCTCTAATTCAAACCAACGTATTAAAGGTAAAAAAAATTTTATTATAGATAATATGCACATACTTGTACATTTTTTTTCAATTTTGATGTGTTTGTAAAAAAAAGGCTTATAAAAATAAAAAAAATGTTTCACCCCTTAAAAAATGGAAACATTTTTAAACATGCATACAAACATATTAACATAACGATTTTTATTTATAATTAACATCGAGAAAGGATCTGGAACACGAAAACTGTGTTTCTGTTGTTTTCAGTAAAGATTAACAGAATATATTATATATACAATATGTATTAATATGAATTTATATATTTTTATTTTTTATTATTTGTATACCAATAATTAAAATACTCCCAATTTTAAAAATTTCTACTCTTACTTAAATATGAAACCGTTATTGTAGGCAAAAGATAAATAGTTTTTTTTTGGTTAAAAACCATATTGTGAAAGTATTGTATGAAATATTAAAATACTATTGACATCATTAGGTTCATTCAAGTTATATAAATCAAACGTAAAAAAATGCCTTCACAAATAAACTACTTTGGATAATCTTATGTACATTCACTGTGGCAACGAGTTCACATTCACATTTCGTTTAAGACTGGTCTACCACGACATAACCGGTACCTATTCACAAAAACAGACAAGAAAAAGGGGCCATACAACGATTCGGCGAATCTTGCATACCCTGCCATGCAGATTTAGACATTCTTATAGAGTAATGCTTACATTTATTATTAGACGTTGGTATAAAGATTTAATTCCATTTAAATAATTTAAAGCATAAGTTATTTTTCTGAGAGTATTAACAAAAATGTATGACCTAAATAAAATGACCTATGTATAAAAATGACCTAAGATATGCAATAAAAGGTCGAAATGTACATATATAAGTTATATACAAGTCGAAACGGCCGGGATCGGCGAACTTTATAGCCATATGTGTACATACATATATCGGAAATGTCATAAATTTGGTGCTTCTTAAGGTAGAGTTTTGGGACATTCCTTGCACTGTACTTAAATGACTTTCTATATCCGATAAATATAAACTATAAAAATTATATGAACTTCCACTTAACTGTAAGGGTATAAAAACTTCGGTTTCGCCTGTAGTATATTTCATATATTGTTTGCACTACATTTGATACAGAAGTTAAGATGTTTTTTATCTTTATACGAAAACCGGTCATTATATAGTATTATTTCGAAATCCCACATTGGCAAATTATTGTGCGATTTTCATGCGATGTTGCTAAGTAAAGCGTGTTGTTTTGTTTAAAAAGCTTTTATACGGATAAACAAATACATTTCATATATATATATATATACATATATACATATGTATGTACAATGTGTGTTTAAATCTAACGGAAGTTCTATCTAAGCTGATCAGAATATTTATGATATTGAAAGGTGGCATTGTATGACTTGCTAAGTCAGGTTGTTATATACCAAAATAGAATAAATAAATAAACATGAAAATATAGTAAATAAGTTAAAAATTATTTGTTGGGAAATAAACTAGATATAATCGTGGACAAAAGTATTTTGACAAATAAAACGCGTTTTTTTTTGTAATTACAATATATAGTATGTATGTACATGACATTAATAAAAATTCAAATATTAATAAAAATATAAAATAAAAATTCATTAAAGTGGGAGGTAAAATTAAATAAATAAATGAAATAAATTTTATTTTGCAAACACGCAGGATCATAAGTTTTGAATTGTTTCCATGGTAATATCTCGAAAATACTACGACTTCAGCATTTGTTTCCATATTGAACCTTACTAAATTTATCTTCCTCTTTTGTTCTATTTAAGCACAAATTATGTATGTATAAAGATTTCTATCTATAGGAATATATATTTCTATAGGGTTCGAATCACGTGCCTTAGTATATGCGAGGAGAGTACTAAATAGAACCTAAATGATATACCAATCGGAGGCTTGAAAGATGAGCAACTCTGTTTAACTCGATGGTATTGAGTGGGAGCCCTTTTGAATCAAACGTTCGCCCGAAGTATTAAGAAATTGCCGCCGTTGCCGTTTCCTACATTTAACGGAGGCTACGCACAAAAGCATGAGTTTTGGTTCGATGTTCCCAACGTTTATGTGCAGATATTAACCAGCTTATAAATCGAGAGTCTGCATTAGAAACTGAGTGCTCACTGCGCTCAAAAAATAATAAGTTTTAACACTTGAAAAAAAAGTCCGACTGTCCTTACCTTAGGTTTTACCAAAGATTATAAAGTACATAGATGGGAAATCAGGGCCCAAAACGTCGAGCTTGTAGGTGAGGGGGGAACGCACATGCATACGATTATATTTGCGCACTATCCATCTAGGCTACCCTCGAAGTTGGTTTAATGATACTTCAAATTGGTTTTAAAGCAGGGATCGGCACCCCAATACATTGATATGATTTTACCGCATTAGTGTTAGTAACGAATAGCAGAAAGTAGGCTGTGTGCATGACGTTTCACACATGTATACTGTGTGTGTGTGGCAGAGCTCGGGCAGAGAAATTTCCTATGACCCCGAGAAATTTCCGTCGTGGAACCCGCTGTAAAAATGAAAACATTTGAGAGCGGGTTCCACGACGTGGCCTGACAAAATGCCGTAGAACCCGCACTCATAGACATTTTTACAGCGGGTTCCACTACGAACTGAGACGATGTTAAGGTAATTTTAAAATTTGGTATTTTTTTTATTGGAATATAATTATTGGTTCCAGCGCTGGAACCCGCCATAGTACATTTTTCTTTGTATGAGATGTCCCATTTATGTACTTTATAATCTTTGGTTTTACCTACCCATAAATATTTATGTTTTGTCGATTTGCCGGAGATACAAAGCACAACATTCGGTTGCAAAAATTTTAAAAATTTTTTTAAAAAACCATACGGCTGTACTGGCGTAAAAGTTAACAAGAAAAGAAAGCTAACTTCGGGCGGAGCTGAAGTTTATATACCCTTTCAGTTACAACCGGATATATATCGCAAACATCGGATATAGTTGGCCGATCCTTATGGGAATATGAATATATAATCCAATTTATTACAATACAAAATCTAAAAAAAGTCTCAAGCTTCTTTCTTCAAAAATACCGAAGTTGGTATTTCTACCAAAAACCATTTCCGATCGTTCAGTTATATGGCAGCTAAAAGATATAGTCGGCCGATCGTTATGAAATTTGGTAGGTCGAATTAACTGACCAAGAATATAATCTGTACCAAGTTCCAGCTTTCTATCTTCAAGAACAAAAAAGTTGGGTCATTTCCGATCGTTCAGTTATATGCCAGCTGTAGGATATAGTCAGCCGATCCTTATGAAATTTAGCATTTCGTATTATTTTGCCAAAAATAGCGCTCGTGTAAAATTTGAACTCTCTAACTCTAAAAAGTTAAACCGATACACCGAAGTTATACCATTTCCGATCAATCAGTTATATGGCAGCTATAGGATATAGTCGGCCGATTCCGGTCGTTCCGACTTATATACTGCGTGCAAAGGAAAGAAGGGTGTGTGCAAAGTTTCAAGTCGATAGCTTTAAAACTTAGAAACTAGTTCGCGTAGAAACAGACAGACAGACGAACATGCTCATATCAACTCAGGTGGTGATCCTGATCCAGAATATATGTATTTTATAAGGTCGGAGACACTTTTGGACAAAATTATAATACCCTCTGCAAGGGGTATACCTTGCTATATAGTTCCGCAATATCAAAGCCGGGCCACTCTCTGGTTGTGAGCTTAAGCTTTGCAGTTTCTATTCGAGATGCACTGTATGTACATATGTTACTGCATTAGCACCATAAACTGGTCTATCTTCTGCATCTACAGGCGGAATAAATATTCTTATAACTTTTTAATAATTTAGATAAAGATTTAAATAAGTATTTAAATAAAGAAAACTTAATGACCAAACAAGTGCAATAATTAACAACTAAATTATAATACCAAAAGGATAAAATAAACAAACATTTATTTTCTTTGAGATGCTTTAAAGACTGAGATTCCGTTTCAGAGTTCCCTCCCTTAGTTAGAATACTCTAACCAAGTAAGCTAAGCTTGTGGGGCTCATTCGAGTTAGTTTTCTTTTTGGAATCTGCTGCATTGCAAAGGTAAATCTTATAGTAAAGTTTTGACCTCTTAACGATTAAGAGACAAACAGAAACTTCAAGCTGGTTAGGCGCTGCGTCGTACACAGCTTGTGCGGTTAAGCCCAGCGATTTATATCCTGGCTCTAGCCATTTTTATATTTTTTATTTAAACATATTTTTGTTGATTTTTTGTTAATATTTTTTTTTTTAACTTTGCTTTTATTTCTTGAATCTTTTCTTTGCGAGACTAACAAGAGGTGTATCAAATCTTATATTTTTAACTTAACTAACAGTCATATTGACTGATACGGAGTTAGACGGCCCTAAAAATCGATTGCTGGGTTGGGAGGTCATTGCGTCTAAGGCGGGATACGCTAGAAACCCGAGTCAATCCCCGAGCGAGAAAATTTGGGTGTGAAGACAGTTTTTCTCTGTATGACTCTTTTTGCTTCTGGATTTCGTCTTTCACTGCGAGGATGCCCCGATCCCGGTGGATGTTTTCGTTGCGAACATACCAAGGTGCCCCTGTGATAGTTCTCAAGATTTTTGATTGTGCGCGCTGTATGATGTCTATGTTGCTGCTGCTCGCGTTCCCCCACAGCTGGGAGCCATACGTCCAGATTGGCTTTAGGACTGAATTGTACAGTAGTAACTTGTAGTCCAGGCACAGTGGCGATCGTGAGTTTATGATCCAGTGGAGGCTGCTGGCTTTCAGTTTTAGGTGCATCTTTTTGCATTCGATGTGCTTGCGCCAGGTAAGTCGTCTATCAAGGGGAACGCCAAGGTACGTTACGTCGTTAGCTTGAGGGATCTGCATACCGTTTAGTAAAAGCGGAGGGCATGTTTGTCTATTAGGAGTAAACGTTATATGTTTACAATTTTGTTCGTTTATTTTAATGCGCCAGTCGGACAGCCACCTTTCCACTATTGTGAGATGATTAGCCAGTTGGGTTGTTGCCTGCGTTGGGCATCTGGAGCGACTAAGAATAGCGGTATCGTCGGCGAACGTTGGGGTTGTTAGTTGTGCGCTTGTAGGAATATCCGCAGTATACAAAACATATAGACACGGGCCGAGTGCGCTTCCTTGTGGAACTCCAGCTTCGATGGTGTAGTCGCCCGAAGTAGCTGCGTTGCATCTCACTGAGAATACCCTATTGTAGAGGTATGATTCCAGTAGCTTGTGGGTGTATGTTGGAAAATACGTTTTAATTTTGTGCATGAGTCCGATGCGCCAAACTCGGTCGAAAGCTTGAGATACGTCGAGGAAAATAGCGCTGCAGTATTCTCGCTGTTCGAAGGCTGAGCGTATTTCGGATGTTAATCTGTTCACTTGTTCAATGGTTCCATGCTTCCAGATGTGGTATTATGCGAGTTAACAATGAAGGTTAAGTCGCTAATGCGACTGGCTAAGGGGAGGACTCTGGCTGAATTTCTGGCAGGAGGAATGATTTTGAGGCTGGGTTTGGCTGGAAGACACTTTGGAGATGTGTGGCGAATGTTTCAGCTCGGTCTTCGTCGCTGCGAGCCCAGCATCCCGAAGAGTTTCATATCGGGGTGGTCGTTTCAGTTGGGGCGCTAAGATTTGGGTGGGCCCTCCACAGGGGGTTCTTTGTGCTTGTTGGCGAGAGATTCTGGATGTACCTCAGCTGTGCATTTGCTTCCTGTTGGTGAAGAGCCTGGTCGAGTGATCGGGTTGCTTCCTTAAGGCGTTGTTTTGAAGCTGGTGATCTGCTGTTTTGCCAATCACGACGCGTGCGCCTCTTTTCTGGCACGAGCTGTTCGATTTGCTGATTAGATTTGAAGTGTTTGTTTCGGTCCACATCTTTCCTATGAGGAGTAGAGATTTTAGCTGTCGCAACGAGTACTTCTTCCAGGGCGCTCGTAGTGTAGTGAATGTCCGATTCCATGTTAAATTCCGAGGCGAGTTCTATGTGGGCACTCACGTACTTTTTGTTTTTTAGCCAGTTCGTTTTTGGCGTCGTCAGGCTGAAGGGGTGTTCGGTTATTTCTGGGCTTTGAAGAAGCGAGTGGTCTGATGATAAGTCCGAGACTGCTTTGGCACTTATTAGATTGCGAGGTATGTTTTTTGTCACTGCAAAATCAATAAGGTCTGGGAGCTTTCGTGAGTCTGTTGGCCAGTATGTGGGACTTCCAGGAGAAACGTAGTCCAGTTTATTTTTCACATTTATAATTGCATTGTACA